TGGGCAGGACCTGACCCAGGACATGGAGCTGGTGGAGACCAGGCCTGATGGGAATGGAACCTTCCAGAAGTGGGCGGCTGTGGTGGTGCCTTCTGGAGAGGAGCAGAGTTACACGTGCCGTGTGCAGCACGAGGGGCTGCCTGAGCCCCGCACCCTGAGATGGGGTAAGGGGGTGTTATGGCTTGTATCTATGTGATCCGCGAAGCCTCGTGTGCTCATAGGTGGGGTTTGTCGGAGGTGGCTGGATTTGAGTGTCTGACACTGGATGAAGGGTGTGATAACTGCACCTGCACTGTTGTGGGTGTGGCTGAGTGGATTAAGCAGGACATAGACCCAGTCTGGGTATGAGTGGGATCCACCAACAGGCTCACAGCCTGAATGCAGTGAAGAACTCGAGGCTTGCTGCTGCTGCTTGCTGCTTCCTGCCTGTCTTCCATGGAGTGTTTCTCCTCTGTTCCCTGCCAGGCCTCCCTGCCTTAGAGCCTCCTGACTGTGGACTGAACCTCTACAGATTGTGAGGCGAAGTGAATATTTCCTCCTTTAGCCTGTAGGTGCAGGTGTTTTGTCTCAGCAAGAAGGAACTAACTAAGACAGAGAGGGAGAGGGCACAGGCGCTCTTGTCTTGGACGGCAGGAGTCGTTGTGAAGCTCCTCAGCAGGTCAGGCTGGGGAGCTGGGGTCAGGGCCCCTGTCTTAGTCACTGTCATCTCTGGGACACAACAACCGATGCTCACAAATTAAAGGAGAACGGATTCATTACAGCGCACATGTTTGTAGACATTTCAGTCAAAAGTCAGCACTTTTGACTGGTTCCAGGCAGCACTGCAGGGCAGAGGGCCTGGCACAGGAGAGCTGCTCAGGGCAGGGCAGACAGGAAGCAGAGAGAGCAGTGGGCGAGCGGAGGAGGGGGAGAAACCCTACCGAGCCCCTCCCACAGGGACCTCCTCTCCCCCAGACCCCAGACCCTAATGCAAGTGAGTGCTGAGCCCCACAGTGCAGTCAGCTTCCCCATCCCCACATTTGCATGAGGCATTGGGGTCCACTTAGATCTAACAATAACATCCCTTCCCTTCCAGAGTCGCCTGCTCAGCCCCCGTTCCCCATCCTGTGGGTTGTTGCTGCTGCAGTTCTCCTTGTAGCTGTGCTCGCTGGCGCTGCTCTCCTGATGTGGAGGAGGAAGAGAGCAGGTAGGGTGGGGGCGGCGTCTTCTTGTCTCAGCCTCAGGAAGAAGTGCACCCTCCGCACTGTGGGACGCCCCATCCCCACACACGTGCTCGTCCGGCCTGAAGCCCTGGGCATTGAGCTGTTGTGAAACACAGGGACAGGAAGGACAGATCTGTCACCCGGAGGGCTGTGGTGATGGGGACCTGATTCCCAGCAGTCAGGGTCAGAGGGGAAGGTCCTGCTAGGAGAGCTCCAGGAGGGTGGTTGGCACAGTCCTGAACATGTCCTTTCCTCGTGCCTCCTGATCCCTCCCTGGCTCTGCATCCCAGATCTGGAAACTTCCCTGGGTCCAGGCTGGGCGGTTCTTCCAGGCTGTCAAGGCCCGGCCTCCTCCCTGGCTTCTGACCGGACATTTGCTTCCCACAGGTGTAGAAGGAGGGTGCTACGCTCAGGCTGCAGGTAAGTATGGGGGGCTGGTTCCTGAGAGCCTAGGGGTCCTTACCCAGGACGCATGGGGATCCCCACTCCATGATCCCACCTTTGCCATGTCTGCTGTGGCCTCTGACAGTATCGTGTTATTTTTTCCTCCCAGGTAGTGACAGTGCCTAGAGCTGTGATTCATCTCTTGAGCCTTGTAAAGATGAGAGCCTGGAGGGAGGGCCTGAGGTGAGGTGGGGATGAGGCAGAGGGAACGCAGCAAGGGCTCTGTCTGAATTTGAACCTGTGTGTGGGCAGTGGTTCTTTGTCAATGTGTATTAGCACTTTTGCTGTACAAGATGCTTATGTCCCTCCTGGGGACCCTGTGCACATACGTCACTTGTCTCTGCTTTTGCTTCTCCGTGCCCACCGCTCCATCCCTGCCTCCATCTCTAGCTCCTCTCCTACTTGCAGAGAGCCTGTCTTTCATGGGAGCAGTGGGTTCTTCAGAACGGTGCCACGCAGAGCCATGGCCCTGAATGGTTCACGACTCTTCTGTCCTGTAGCGTGAGACAGCTGCCTTGTGGGTGACCAAGCAACACCAACTTCTGCAGCCCACGCTTTGTGACCTCCAGAACACCCGAATCATCTCCCTGCAAACAGCTTCTGAGTGTGCCCAGGTTCCTGTCGGCTCGGGGAGGGAGTGTAGACAGCATCCCGGCTCTGGACACCAGAATGCCTGTCCCCACGCTGACCAGAGTTACCTACCTCATCAACTGTCCTGTTCCAGCAGCCATGGGTTGGGTGGCTCCAGCCGTGTCAGGCTGCTTCTGTGCTGTCGTGAGAACTGTCCCACACCTGGCCAGTGTAGCTCTGTCTTGTAGTGTGCTGCTGGTCAGCTGTCCAGTGGCTGAAGCTGGGTGGGGAATGAAGCTGTGTGCGGACTCCAGCACAACAAAGCTACTCACTTGGCAGGGAGACAGGGCTTGCTGCACCCAGCGGGTTTCTCACAGGGATGAGATGGAGCGGAGCGTGCACAGCTTTGCCAGGATCCTTCCTGCTTTTTATCCTGCTTTTATTTGAATAACAGCCCTACAGTAAATCTATTAGCTTAGCAAAGCTGTGTGTGATAGTGCAGCCTACAGGTCACTTAGTAACAAGTGGGGGTGTGTGAATTGTTTCTTGGACTGCTGGTCCTTTTCAGAGGCGGACGTTTCTTTTACATGTTTTCAGGAAATTCATGCAGCACATACTGAATGTAAGACTTAAGAATATATGTTTGGTTTATTGGGGACCTGGCCAAGATCCACAACTTCCTGTATGAGGGGTATAACGAAAGGATGAAATAAAAAACAGAGACATTTAGTAATACATGACGGAGGGCCTGGGGGTCAATGCCTAAGGTTGGCAGAGATGCCGAACTAGCCAGTATTTACTGGGTGTATACAATAACCAGAGGGATTACCGGATGACTCAGAGGGCAGGGGCGACCTTATGCTAATGAGGATCTTTGTGTTGATGAAGATGGTAGGGAGAGAGATGGCACGTTTTGGAGTTTATCCTTTCTCCACGGTGAAACTGTTTTTCTTACTACTGTGTTCTCAAGGAATCGGGATGTCTTCGATGATACAATCTTGTCTTGGGTATCACAGCATCAAGGGACCAAGGAGGCCTCAACTGTGACCAAGGACACATGGAATTATGTTCCCACATACTATATCCACCTGCCTGGCAGGACAAGAGGCCTCGGAAAAGCCCTAATCAGAATTTAATTATACAATGATTTTTCCCCAACAATTATATAGAATGGTCTCCAGCAGGTTTTTTTCAAACTCATGACATGAGTGGTTGCCCAGTTCATTAAAGAAGACTTCCAAAAGTTTTTTAAATTTTTTTTTATTTTTTTATTGGGAATTGAACTCATGACCTCAGGCTTGCCAGGCAAGTGCTTACTCCGTTGAGCTACATACCTGGCTGGACTTCCTATGTTTGAGTGTTGGTAATAAATCAGAGCAATGAGACCTTTCCTTTGTCTGTTCTTGCTGTGCTTTGCATCTCCTGCCGGTGGAGAGAGAGAAAGACATGAGGAGCCAGGCTGGGACTACTGTAGTTAGTAAATACCCTCAGCCACACCCAGAACTGTGCCGATCCAAGGTAGTTGGGCATTTCTTACTCACGCTGACATCATCAGTGAACTATCACAGCCCACCCCTTGGCAACTTGACAAACACACACATTTCCTTAAACCATGCTTAGTCTCCGGATACAAAGGTAAGTTCATAGTTGGTTTGCAGTTTTCTATTGACCTTAGTAACAGGGCATAATAATACTAGGAAAAAAAATAATACTAGGAGTTTCCCTAAAGTATCTCCTGAACTTCATGTATTTTTTTCCTTTCCTCTATTAGGGAGTAATAGTCCAATTTCCCCTTAGTCTGGATGAGAAATCACCCCCAACACTGTAACTCCCTTTTTCGCTTGTTTGAGTGTGAGACACCCAAAATGACCAGTAGGAAGTACTCATTTCAGTGTTTTTGTGCTTCCTGGTACAAGCTTTCCCCCTACTCCTGGAGACTAAGACTTCCAGGCCAGCAGGACATAAGGTTGTGGGATTAGGAAGCAAAAACACTGTTAGTAGATCACTAGGGGTAATGGTGAGTTGGTATCATTTCCATTGCCACTCTCTGATTTCTGAACCCATGATCCTGGGTATCAGGTGCACAGTACTAAACAATAGACAATGATTCAAAGCACATACAGCCTTTTGAAGAGTCTTGCGGCAGCCTTGCAAGCTATTGCCACTTAGCTGGAGTTGTAACCATGTCCTCAAAAGGCCGTTCCACCTCTATCAATCCAGCTGCTTCTGGATTGTGAGCTGCCCTTTCCATGATGGAAGTGGTCCAAGATAATCAACCTTCCACCAGGTCGCAGGCTGATCACCTCAGGGAGTGGTGCCAGTCAGAGCTCAGAGTTGGTCTCTGCTACTGGCATATTGGGCACTCAGCAATAGATGTAGCCAGATCAGCCTCGGTCAGTGGGAGTCCATGTTGCTCAGCCCATGCAAAACCTTCATCACTGCCACCATGGCCACTTTGTTCATGAGCCCCTTGGCAGTGACTGTGGCAGCTAAATAAAGGAGTTGACGGTTATCTACAGATCGGGTCATCTTATCCATCTGAGTTACTTTTTGGTGAGTGTTTACATAGGGTAAAAATATTACATTCATTGTCCATATGGAGAGGTCTGTTCTCATACCTCTTCCCCGAATATCTTTATCACCAGTTTTTCAGTTATGTTCTTTTCAAGGTCCTGGCTACCTGGCTAGAGCATTGGCTACAGTCCATGAATCATTATAGAGTCCCACATCTTGCCATTTCGCCTTGCTGGGAAAGTGTACTACCAGGTGCACTGCATGAAATTTTGCCCACTAGAAGGATTTCCCTTCACCACTGTCCTCCAGGGATGTCCTGCAAATGACCCACAATGCTACAACAGTCCACTTGCAGGTGGTAGCTGAAGAAGGTGCAGAACTATCCATAAAACAGGCCCTAGCTTTCTCTTCCTCTGACAGTGGATCATATGGTGCACCCCACGAGACCACAGGTGCATGCTGGGAGACAGAAAGCAATATGGCCAGAGTAGGGGCCATGGGCACCTGCACACCTTTTTTGTGTAATTTACTTGTGATCTCTGACATGTTCTGGCCCAATCAGGTGTATACAACTTCTTTTACTTGGCTCTTTATTTGTATTTTTGCTTTCTTATTTCTGAATATAATACATCTGTCTAAGCTTAAACTAGAAGGAAATAAGAGAAGTAGAAATCAAGGAAGAAAATTTGTAAGTTTTAGGGAGATTAACTGTGTTGAACTAGTGATCCCTACATCTGTATAAGAGAAAGTGAAATTTAGTGGGCAATTAAAGTGGGTCAGAGTCTTTCACACATAATTTCATTCCTTCCTAACTATGATCCATTCAAGACATATGTTATTGCATGTAATTAATGATAATGAAATGCATAGTCTCGAAGTTTAATTAATAGGTGCAGGTCACGCAGCCTGTGCACTGTTCACCCAGGATGACCCCGGCCTGGCTTTGTTTTGGTTTTAGACTCTGCATCCATCCACTGCATGATGCCGCCTCTCCAGCCCTGCAGCCCAGGCTCAGAGCCGCACTAGCACACAGGGCGGGGAGGGGAGGCCCAGAGAAGGGGGCTCCTGTCCAGGGTCAGCACACTGTTCTTCCCACCCAGAAAGACACTTGTGGTTAGTGGCACTGCTGGGTGTAGAAGTCACAGAGATGAGGAAAGGACAGGGAGGGGAACCATCTCCGTGTGGTAATGGTGTGGGGCCGGGTCAGAGCCGATCTTCCAGATTCCAGAACCCAGCAGGGAGCCTCAGTTCTGTCTCAGGGTTGATGGAAGACAATGGACAGACTGTGGCATCACTGGAAAGAAGCTGAATGAGAAACATGGAGGGAGAGTTACAGAAGGACGTTTGTAAGATGGGGGGGGTGCTTAGCAAGCGATTCAGGAGGGAATGTGAGTCACAGCGACTCCTCCCTTGAAGCTGTGCCCCACAGTGACCATTTCCACAGAGTGGCCTGGCAGACCCTGCTCTCTGGGGCACAGGGGGCTGCGGTCCCATGACCAACATGGTCACTGCCCCACTGCGGGTCAGAGGTACGTGGATGGCTTCCTTCTCTCCTCTGACTTTGAGAAAAATCACAGTAGAGTGGTGAAGCACAGAAAGCCAGGGCTACCAGGAAGTGTCACAGCGTCCGGGTGACAATGGGTGAGAAAATCATTCTCAGTTTTACAGTGAGGGGAAATGAGAAGTTTAGGGACAGAAAGGTCAGCACGTGGTGACTGTGGAGCAGACTCAGGGCTCTTTCTCCTCAGCCCGTGTGGTTTCCACCGTGCCACAGGAAACACAAGGCTGACAGTCCCAGGAGAAGGGCCGCGTCTCTGACTGCTTCTGTCCCTCAGGGAAAGCAGGATTCAAGTGGGTCCAAACAGAAAGCACGGAGTCTGCTGTCTCAGGTGGTTCTCCTCCCTGCCCTGTCTTGTGACTATGCGAAGGTAACTCGGCAAAGAACTTTAAGCCATGGAGAGCAATGACATTTTAAAAGGTGGGGGTCAAGTATCAGAAGGTTTTTGTGGTCTCTAGAAGAGTAAGCTCACATGGGAAACTGTGTTCCCTAGAGTTCATTTTTTTAAAGCGGGGTCTTACTATAAAGTGCAGGCTGGCCATGAATTCACTTGGGTAGCCCAGGTTGGCCTCAAACTCACAGCGATTGTCCTACCCCCGCCTCCTGAGTGTTGGGATTACAGGAGTGAGCCACCATGCCCACTGTCCTTAGAGTTCAGAAACAAACAAACAAACAAGCAAACCTACCACAAGCATGAGTGAATTCACAGCCCAAGGGCACAGGCCCACTGAAGTTCTCAAAATAAGTCAGAAGCCTGCAGAAAGCTCCATTTCCCCTCAGTGCATCTCAAAACTACATCACCAAAGCCTATTTATCAGAGTTCATTTTACCTAGTAAGTGCATCATTTTTGATGTCTCCCCTCTAACACAAAGTGACAGGGCACACTGAAAAGTTTGAAGAGACAGAACAAGCTGATTGATTGTACAACAAAGGAGTTATATAAAACTGAGTAGGATTAAAATGACATTTGAGGCCTCATTCTAATTGCAAGCTGTCTATCTGGTCACCTGTCCACTTTGCAGTGGTTTCTAACATGCCAGTTTGAGATTGCAACTCTGCGTCAGTAGAATGCTGTATTTTTCAGGCCTCATCTGCAGTTTTCACTCAATTGTCTACAAAATGGGCTGTTTGAGTAGAATGAGTGAGAGCAACAGGGGAAACAGCTGCCCTGGAGATCCACAGCACCAATGAAGCCATCCCTGCAACCATAAACCTATCATTCCCTTGGTCCACATACAAGGTGGTCACCTAGGGATTATGTCTGGCATGATCACAGGAGCGTTGCACCAAGGCTCAGTAAGATTAATTGGCATCCATACTCCAAGGCATGCACCCCAGGACTAATAAAGTTTTGCTTACTAAGGTCCTGGTTGGCGCTCAATGACTTACAGTGCATTTTTTTTGATACTGGGACTCAAACTCCTGACCTCAGGCTTACAGGCAAGTACTTATACCGTAGAGCTACATCCCCAGCCCTTACAGTGCATTCTTTACAAGGAAATGAGGTCAAATTCCACTCTTCTGTACCATAAGGAAAACCCATGGGCTCTAAGCACATGTGGAGACATTAGTGATCTTATTCTTTTGAAGAAAAATAACGGTGGTATCTAGGAAGGCTTAATTACATGCCCCGCCCCATATTTCTCCTATATAGTAAGATAAGGCTAGTTTCCAAATTGCGTTCTGTAGGAGCCCAGGCTTGCCATTAATAATAGCCCGTGGCCCAGGGGGCCTAAACCTGCTCCTCCCCCTGCCAGTTGTCCCGCTGGAAGGGGTTGTTTAGCTGAAGCATTGATTTGTTTCCATGATACCTCATGGCATTTTGAATTATTATCTATTCTTCCCTCCATCTTGCCCCCAGGGCCCTGGTCAATAAACTCAGATTGATTTAGGGACATTTTTTGCCCTCTATTGCCTATGGAGAAGGTCCATGGTGTGTGTGTGTGTGTGTGTGTGTGTGTGTGTGTGTGTGTGTCTGCATCTCTGTGTGTGTGTTTGTATAGCAGAATCATATGTGTCTCCCGAAGATATACATTGTGCACATGGAGGAACATCAGGTGTGGAGGAGTTCATCCACTTCTCTGAGATGTTAATAGATCCCATTCCCCAAAATATTAATTATTCATTATAATGGACCATCCAAAACTGTGGGTGAACAGGCAGGTAATAATTGGATTGTGAGGACTTACGTTAAAGGCATAGGTGTGGATAAAAAAGTGTGATGTATGATTCAGAGTAATATTGGAATCTACAAATACAGGTAAAATAAAGGGGACTGGATCCTAGGTTAAGTGATCAGGATAAATCTCGGGGGGAA